TGAATTCAGGCTGATACTTTCACTGTCTTTAGGTCAAGACAGTGTTCATTCTAACCTTTCATCTTTTCTTAATTTTTAACTATGTTCGCTGATAGTGAGAAACCCGAGTTTATCCACAAAACACTCTCACTCACCCTCTCTCCCTCCCTCCCATTCTCTCTCATTACTCTTCAGTATCTCTGTGAAAAACAAGCCTACTAACCAGATACCTGGTTTGCCTTTTCAGTATTAACTTTTGGACAATTTAAGACAATTTTAGACAATTATAGTCTCAAATATTAGGTCTGCTTGATTGTTTTATGTCTTCAGGAACTCCAGTTTTTTGTAAGTCATTCCTTTTTCTATTTCCATTGCTCTTTCTCTGACCCTTTAAAATTTTTCTTTATATTATTTTTGTTTTCTTGATAAATAAAAATGATTTTCAGAAAACTTTAAAAAAAATCTGTGCCTCTTATTATTGTACATTTTCATTTGTGTCTGTTCTTCTTTGGTACTTGTATTTACTCCTTATTTTTGACATAATTCTCTTTTGTTTCCCTGAGTATAATTACTCTACTTTTTATTTCTCACTATGTTTTGCCCATTTTTCTCTGTACATTTTGAATTCCTGATTCACAGTTAATTTTTAATATCCCCAAATTCTTGTTTAAGTCAATTTGGAGTGTTTTCTTAATGGTTTTCTCCAGGTTGGCTTTTTTTGGGGGGGAGGTGTCCATTTGCTGAGGTGTGTTGATTTTTTTGGTAGTAATTTTGTATAGATTTGATTAGTTTTCATCTCTTCATTTTGTGAATTTTGGGTGGCTTATGAGATCGTTAATTCATTGGAAGCCTCTTTTATCACTGCAGCAAAGTCCATTCTTTCATAATTTTTCTTTTTCTTTTTTTTTGGTGTTCAGGGGAGGGTTTGTATGTCCTCCAGTTTTGGTTTTGTTCTTTTTGTCTTGCAGGATGCTGGCTTTTCCTGTTTTGTTTTTTCTCCCCCTTCACCTCCCATTTGCAAAAGGGGGACTTTCCTTTCTGCCTTTTTCTCCTCCAGAAGCCACTTTGATGATAGCCACTTTGGGTCATTTGTGCATTCAAGCTGCTTCCCAGCAGTCAGTGACTGGGTCATACTTTAGAGTTTACAAACTTAGAGGCCTTACATTTCCCAGTGGTAGTTATAAAGCAATTTTAGGTGTTTTTGCTAGCTCCCTCTTTTGCAGTTTCTGTTAGCGTGTTCTTGCTTGCTGTGAAGGCTTGTGGCAGGTGCATGAGTGATTGTTCACTGAGATTTGATGTTCTTTTTTTTTACCTACAGTTATTTTGAAGTGTGGATGTTCTGTGGTGTCTGGTTACATGGAGGGCATGAGTTATGTGTAGTTTTATTTTTCTTTTCGTTCTGTGTTTGTAGAGGATATGTGTGGAGATGGAAATCTAGGTAGTGGCTACCCAACTATTGTGAAGCTCTTGGTCAAGTTTTTAACTCTGAGCTTAGTTTCTTCATATGTGAAATGGGAATAATAATTGACAGAAATATGGGAATACATAGTTGACAGAAACTTCGTGGAGGTTAAATGAGGTAATATTTATGAATTGTTTAGAACAGTATCAGTCACGTAAGTGCTCAGAAAATTTTAGTTGCCATTCTTATCATTATGTTGTGGATGCAGCATTGGCCTGAATAGTACTGTGGGTACTGCTTTGAAAATAAAATACCGGATAGTATCTAAAGTTGACCACTCCCTTAGTACTGTGTACCTCATCTTCTTCCGCCTTTTCATTGGCCTGTGCTCCTGTTCTAGCTTCTGCATCATCTCTGCTGTTTTTTGTTTCTGGCTTCCTCTTGTTGTCATGCAAAGTAGGTTAAATAAAGCCCATCTTTAAAAATATCTTTCACTGATCCATTTCCCCCTCTAACTTTATACCCTATTTCCCCTATTTCTCTCTTCCCTGTCATAGTTGAACTCTTCTAAAAAGTTGCCTATACTGATTGTCTCCATTTTCACATCTCCCATTGTCTCCTGAAGCTACTTACATAATTTTTATTCCCCCACTACTCTACTGAAGTGGTTCTTACCAAAGTTACTCTTGACCGCTATCTTTTCAAATCCAAGCATTAATTTCTGTGTCTTGACACCACGGTAGCATTTGACCCGGTGAACCATTCCCTCTTTGGTTATTGTTTTAAATGATTAGGTCCTTCAGACATTAAAAAAAGTACTAAAATAATATTATGCAGATGTGTATTTGCAAGCTAATGTAAAGAGTGACAATTATCATCACTTGGAGCCTCCCCGCCCACTAAATCCATTCCCAATTTTCTCCTTTCCTAAGCTCCCAGATGTAGCCACTACACCAAATTGGTATTTCTTGTACCACACTTGTTTTGTACTTTGCTGCATATGTGTTTTCCTATATAATATGCAGTGATTTTTTTCATGTTTTTGACCTGCATAGTGGAAAAATTATTCTTAAATATTTTTTTCTGCAACTTATTCTTTTTATTTAACATTTTGTTATGAAAATCATTCATGTTGTCATCTGTGACCCTAGGATGTTTATTTTCACTGTGCATGTAGTGTTCTATTTTATCAGTAGACTGCAGTTTATCCATTATGTGGTAGATGGACACTTAAGTTATTTCCACTTTTCAGTTGTTACAAACAGTCCTCTAGAAGCATTCTTATAAAAATCTCCTCAGATGTTTCTGTTCGATAAATACCTAGAAGTAGAGTTCCTGGGTTATAATTTATTAAACTAGACTCTTCTTTTGAATCACCTTGTTATAGGTTTCCATGATACTGCATTTGTTTGATTTTCATCTTACTTCTTAGGCCAAACAGTCTTATCTCATTTTCTGGATCCTCATTCTCTACTATACTCTGTTTTAGTGTCCTGGGGATTTGTCTTTGGCCCTCTTCTCTATATTCCCAGCTTCTAGCTTCGAATTACTGTAAATTATCCTCCATGCTGATCCCAGGATAATCTTTATCAGGTGAAATCCAATCACTTTACTACTTTGCTTAAAGTTCTTTAGAGGTCCCTTGTTTCCTCTAAAGTTGTTTGATCCCCATGTGTATCTCTACTCCTACATCTTCTCTAAAGGATCTTGAAGACCATACCTCCAGCTGGCTGGGCCTTTGCTCAGGCTATTCCCTCTGTTCACGATTTTCTTTCCCCTCATCTTTTCTTTAATTAAGATTTTTAATTTATTTTTATTTTTAGACAGGGGAAGGGAGGGAAAAAGAGAGGGAGAGAAACGTCAGTGTGTGGTTGCCCCTTGTGCACTCTGAACTGAGGACCTGGCCTGCAACCCAGGCCCGTGCTCTAACTGGGAATCAAATGGGACACCTTTTAGTTTGCAGGCGGGCACTCACAGTACACTGAGCCACACCAGCCAGGACCTGGTCAACATTTTTTTAAAAGGTGATATACACGACCTCTTCTCGGGAAGTCACACCTGACACCTTGAGGCAAAAGTAAGAAATTCCTTCTCTATGTTCTAGCAGTTTGTTAACCACGTTATGCTTCTTGATTCATTTATCCAACAAATATTGCTTGCTACATGCTAGAAACTGTTCTAGACATTGAGGCTAGAACAGTAAATCAGACAGGGTTGTTATTTTCTAAGGAGTCTGCAGTCCAGAGGGTTGGAAAGAGAGAAAAGAATGAAACAAACAAGATCATTTTAGACAGATACTGTGGTAATGGAGTGGAGAGTATGTGGGGGAGGGGAAGAGAAGGTGGGGATGGGCAGGACTTCAGATTGAGTGAGGTGCTGTTTGAGTTGAGACCTGAAAGATGAGCAGGTGCCAGCCATGCAGCATTCTGAAAGAAGAACATCCTAGGCAGAAGCAACAGCAAGTACAAAGGCCCTGGCGCTAGAATGAGTTTGTCATGTGTAAGGAACAGAAAGAAGGCCAGTGAGTTAAGCACATAGTGAGCTGTAGAAAGGGGTGCTGTATAAATAAAATCTGATCCATGGACAGCGTTGGATCATGTAGGGCCTTATCGGTAAGATTTGTCGATTTTTGGTGTAGTGGGAAACCGTGTGGAGATTTTACATGAGAGAGTGACAGATCTGATTTATATCTAGAATTATCACTCTGGAGGATATGAGGGGAACTGGAGAAGGACAGAGCAAGAGCAGAGGCCAGGTAGGAGTTGTTGCTGCAAGTGGAAAGTGTTGGCAGCTTGGCTCACCGTGGTATTTATAGTGTCCATAAAAAGAAGTGGAATGACTTAGGATATAGTTTCAAGGTAGGCTGCTAGGGCCACCTGATGGATTAGATGTGTTGGTTTTAAGGAGGGATGGAATCAAGAAAAGGACTCCTTGGCTTTTCTTGAGTAGCTGGGTGTCATTTACTGCCATGTGGATGGCTAGTGGCGGTGGGAGCGATGAGAACATTCCGTGGGGGAGGCCTGCCTCCACCTCTGGCCCCACTGCTTGGCCCTGCTGCACGTGTGGGTGGCAAGCCCCGCATGCTCTGCATTGCCAGTTTTCAGCTGTCATCTGTGGGTAATATTAACAAATTCACCTTCAGGATTTTTGTGAGCAGCAAATGTGTTAAAGCACAAAATAAAATAGCTCTGTAAGAGTTATCTTTGTAAAAAATAATTGGATTATCCATTTTATTACAGACTTATAAAGTAGATTAGATCATAGTGTCATGAAATTCATATTTAGGCATTGGGGTATGAATGGCAGCAGTTTTAGGGAGGACAGAGATTGCTGGAAAATGTGATACTTTTCTAGAAATATATAGGAAATTAATTTCTTTTGGCTTTGTTCTCTTATCTTTCCCACATAAATTTAATCATCCTCTTAGAACCAAAGGATCAAGTAATCAAATCTAGCTAGTGGTCTGTTTATCCCAATGTTGCATATATCTAAAAGACAAAATGGAGTTCGTGTTGCTTGTGTTTTTTCTCCTTTTTTTTTTCTATTTTTTTAAGTGAATATATTAACTCAACTTGACAGATTTTTCCCATGGTGATTACCCATTTCATTTTACTTCTAGGGTAAAAATCATGGTAAAAAACTCAGAAATTACTATGCAGCGAACAGCTGTCCTCCTCCTGCCAGAATGAGCAACACGGTAGAACCTGTGGCCACTCCAGCTGTTCCAGTCCCTCCGCAGGTGAGATGTGTGTCAGTATGGAAGCTGTCCGATGCACAAATGGCTATGGATGTAATTTGTTACCCATGTGTCCATCAAGGTACAGTTAGGCAGATATGCCCAAAAGGTCCCCACTTGGTGCTTTTAACTCCTTGAACTGTAGGGCTGGATTTGATGTATGCCAAAATCCACAAATCTTGAGATTTCTCATTGGTTTTGCTTGTGATGCATGAAATGATGAAAAAAATACTGCTTCATGAGTCTCTATGCATTTCTCAAAACTCTGACTTAAACAACCCTCAGTGTCTAGGCTAAGCTAGAATAAAACCCAACTAACCCTGAATAGAACAAGAGATTTTTAAACATTTATCTCTTTATTGCAGTTAATTCCATTTATTTTACATTTTGTCTTCCATTAAGATCAGTTTCTTGAGATTGCTAGCCCCTCTCCCTCTTTTTCTAACTCCTGTGCAGAGAACCTGTATAAACCCTGGTTGAAAGCAGAGTTCCTTTCATTCTTTGAAAGATAGAGCAGGCATTTCAAGTAAGATTTTCCTATACTTTAATAGCCCTTGGCATATCGATTCTGCTCCTTAACCTGCCTTTGAAGTATTATTTGTCCTTACAGCAGTGCAGTGGTCATAAATAATAACTCTTAACTGAGTCCTTACTATGCCAGGTACTCTGCTGGGCACTTTTCACCCATTATTTCATTCAGGGCTGGGCGGAGGGTCAGGAGAGGGGTGCACTCTACTTGGGCACACAATTTAAGGGGGAAGAAAAAAAATCTCAGTCAAGGTAAATATTTAAAATATTCAAAATTAATGTAAACAATTCAATGGTCAACAAAAGGTCAAAAACTTAAAGACAGGATAAGTATTATTTTCCCTTTGCCTCAGGCTGCAGTATGGCTTGGTGTGGTACAGTTACTGATCCTGTCTTTATTTAAAATTTTGATATTTTGTTCCTCGTTGATTTTTTTTTATATTAGGTTTGATTTGTAAAACTATTTTATCAAAATATTATTTCTCTTGACTGCTGGGTTTTTTTGATGCTCCCTTAAATTTTACGTTCATGGCAAGTGCTTGCCTTACCTCATTCTAGACCTGGGCCCTGACTTCTTGTAATGCTTGCAATAGCTTAGAAGTATTGGCCTTATTACTCAAAGTGCAGTCCGTGGGCCAGCAACATCAGTCTCACCCGGAAGTTTATTAGAAGCTCAGGTAAGCTAAATACAGTAACTTGTCCATGGCATTACATGTGGTGGAGCAAGAAATTTTTTGATCTTAGACCTTGACTCATAAGCACTGTGGTATAAATTTTACTTTTCTAAATGTCAGTTTCCAGTACTTAAAGTATGGATAGCAAAACCAGCTATTGGTCTGTCCTCAAGAATTCATGGGGGTAAGTGAGATTTGTTAAACACAGAATGAGAGGACAGGAAAATTACTGGGACGATCTTCAGGCGGTGTAGTTGTCACAGTACTAATTCCCAAAGGCTGCCCTGGAACTGGGTGGCTGCTCCCTGTTGGGGACTGTTTTCAGCCAGCTCCACCCTTCTGGGCAAACAGCCTTAGCCTTCTTTCATAGCGGAGCCCTTTGTGATTTTTGAAGATAGCTATCCTGTCTCCAGAAAACCTTCCCTTCCAGGTGAAAGAAACAGTGCTATTTCTTTCAGCTGGTCCTGATATGATATGCTTTCCTGACTCTTGTATATTTTATTCTCCTCCAGACAAGATCTAGTTTGTTGTTTTTTGTTAACCCAATAAACATTTGAGTGGATACCATCTTTTAGGCACAATGTTAGGTTTCCCTTAACTCATTGTTTCCTAACCTGAATACAATTGTCTGGATCTGCTGGTTATTTTCCCCCAATTATATCTGTAGCTAGTTTGTGGACTCTGAGCAGGGGCTCATTTTTAAAATATATGTCTATATATAGCTTCTGCATTAGATTGTAAGCCTTATAAACAGTAGGTGTTCAGTAAATGCTTGTAAATGCTTGTTGATGGATTCTGGGCTGGCTTTACTTTTTCTGACAGTGTGATTTTAGGCCTTACCTATCCTGCCCTGTATCTCCCATGCTGGGTTTTTAAGTGTATTAAAAAAAAATTTCTTCATTGGAGATAGCAATGAAGCATTCATTATTTTGGTGCATTGGTTATTGTCCTCCAAACCATGATTAAGCGTCTCTTAGCCTTAAAAGGAACTTTGAGGAAAAGAAGGGAATAAGCTCCAGATTTGTTTTTTTAAACCTTGTTTCTTATGTCTTTGATGTCAGATGGGCTCCTTTAAGCCGGGAGGCAGAGTGATCCTGGCCACGGAGAATGATTACTGTAAGCTCTGTGATGCCTCCTTCAGCTCTCCGGCAGTGGCTCAGGCCCACTATCAAGGGAAGAATCATGCCAAGAGGCTGCGGCTGGCGGAAGCTCAGAGTAACTCATTCTCGTAGGTATTGCCATTTTCTCTGAGGCCAAAGTGTTGTGTGAGGCTGACTGACTGTAGAGAGAAAGAGTTGAAATAGATCCTAGTTTAGAAGTCTCACTCTTTTAAAATTTCTTTTCTCCAGGGAATCCTCAGAGGTGGGTCAACGGCGGACCCGGAAAGAAGGGAACGAATATAAAATGATGCCTAATAGGAGAAATATGTATACAGTACAGAATAATTCAGGTACCCACTGGATTTCCATGTACTGTGGCTATATTCTACAAATGGTTTCCTTTATTTTTATTTCTTTTAATTGTAATAGTAAGTAACCCTGAGAATTCCGGGTAAGCTACTGTTTTGTTTGAATTGGTCTAGAGGCTTTTTAAGCAGGTGTTTATTTCAGGTCTCATTTATTTATTTATTTATCTATTTGGTATATGATTTATTTTGGTTTTGAACTAGAGTTTTTATATTTTAAGATCTTTTATCACAGTTCCTTTATATATCTTTTGGTATTTGCCAGCTGAGAAATGTGAAATTTATTATAAAAATGCGCTATTTGGTTTGAAGTTGCACCATGCTAAATACTTTTTTATTGGAGAAAAAAATAACATCATAGCAGTGGTGTTTAACCAGGGCAGTGAATTAGAATTACCTGGGGAGTTTTTATAAAATACACATACCTGAACCAGGACTTAGAGATTTTCAGTCAGTAAATTTGGAGTATAACTCAGACATGCATGTGTTTTGAAAATGCTTCCTTGGTAATTCTGATAATATACCTTCAGGTCAGAACAGCTAGTTTATAGGGATGTTTTCTGCCTTTCCTGATTATCTTCAGAAGGAAACATAGGACTGAGTAGTCCCTCATTCTTCTATTCCAGCCCCCAGTGCATACATATACCAACACAAGTCATTCATGTGAACAAGTCATTCATGTGAACAAGTCATTCATGTGAACAATAAAACAAACAAAAAACGAAAAAAAGTTAATTGGAAAGATAAGCATAAAAAATAGGGACATATAGAAACAATAATGTAAATATAATAAAAGCCTGATCATATATAATTACAGTAATTACAATAAATATACATTTACTGAATTCCCAATTAAAAGACAGAGGTTTTAAGAATAGATTAAAAAATAAGCTGAGATAGCTGTATTAATATTAGAGAAAATAAACTTTAGGTCAGAAGGCTGTCTAGGCTATGTTTTCTGACCAGAGAACAATTAAATGAGATGTCAATAACAAAAAATATAAAAAAAACAGGGCAAAGTGGTGGGGGGAAGGCAGAGACAAATGTATTTGGAAAAATAAATTAATTAAAAAATATAAAAAAACCCCACAAAATTTTAAGCTGTTTGGAAATTTTAAAAGATTTCTAAATAACTCATGGGTCAAAGAAATTATATGGGATATTAAAAACCCTTAGAAGCAAACAGTAATCAAAATATAGTAAATTTGAAGGATGTAGTAAAAATAATATTTTCAGAAAAGTCTGAAACATTTATTGTAGAAAAGCATAAATTAATAAGCTAATGGTCTAACTTAAGAAGTCAATTATATAAAAAGAAGAAAATAAAATTATCAATAATTCCACCAACATTTTCATATATATCATTCCACTCTTCATATTGCTTCTTTAAAACAGAATTGTGATTATATTTTGTGATATTCTTGTTTCACTTAATAGCATATTATAATCACATTTTCATGTAATTAAAGTGTTTTTATTATTTTTAGTGACTGCATGGTTTTCCATTGCAGTCCTTAGCATATTTTTTCAAAGTGTACTTTTGGAACTCTCCTTTCCCTAGTACTCCCCCCACCCCCAGCTCTTTATAAATATTGATGAAATAAATGTCCTTGTTGATAAATCTTCATGCAAATATTCTTAATATTTTTCTTAGGATAATTCTTAGAAATAGAATTTTTGGATTAGATAGTTAGGATAATTGTAAAACTTCATTTAATGCCGGGAAATTAAATCATTTTTAAAACAGTATTTACATTTTAGAGACATTATCATTTAGAGTTTGGGTTTGGCTCTACAGTAATCTTTGTGCCAATAGTTGGAAGAATCATACTAGCTTTTAGATTGAATCTGTATAAAATTGTAATTTAAAAAGTACATTAACTTCACATTCATTTAAAGCTAGGAATCTGTGAATTTTATAATTTTAACTTAGGAACAAAATTACAGTTATAATTAATCAGTGTTGTCATTCATTTAGTGAATATTTCAAAGTGAACACATTACCTTTGTGTCTTGCTTTAGCAGGTCCGTACTTCAATCGTCGCTCTCGGCAGAGAATTCCGCGGGATCTGGCCATGTGCGTCACTCCGAGTGGCCAGTTTTACTGCTCAATGTGTAATGTTGGGGCTGGCGAAGAGGTGGAATTCCGACATCATTTAGAGAGCAAGCAACATAAAAGCAAGGTGTCTGAACAGCGGTACAGGAATGAGATGGAGAATCTGGGCTATGTATAGTGATTGTTGTATTCAGATAGAACAGCTCATCCTGCCTGTTGTTTGCCTTCTGTCAACATGCCCTGCTTTGTGGTCCTTTTGATATGAGTACATTCCTCTGCTTAATGTTAATATATGTAACCTGCAGTGGTACTGTGAGATGTTAAAACTGGGGAAGGACAAGAATGTGCTTCTTAGGTCATAATAATTTTCAGGTCAGTTGTGTTGAGTTACTTAGACCATGTGACCACTCTACCCCATGAGAAGTAATTTTTTGTCTTGATTGTTATGGTCAGTTCGTACCTGACCACGTAGAGCTTTAACTATTTAATAATCTCATCTTCTTTTGCAATTTTAGTTTTGTGTGCTCTTAAGTGATTGGTTTTACGAGTTCTTCAGATCACAGTAAAAACAAGTAAGGGGAGATTGCAGTTTCCCAAGGCTTGTCTGGAACCACCACCTCAGCTCAGTGTCTTGGTGGCGAGGTATCCTATTATAGGCTGCATTAGGGTCTTTTCCAGGATGCTTTTCTCTTGATCATGTCTTCCCATTATTGAGGTGAAGATTTTCTTGGACTCAGACACTTCTGATGTACTTGGGGACTTCCAAACAGTGAAACTTAATTTCCAGTTATGGATTTCACATATTTAAAAGCCACCTTCTTCCCTCTCCACACCACCTCCCCCCCACCCCCAAAAATGAATTAGTTTGTCTAATATGCTCATTTTCATGCCCCAGCTATGTTGTGCGAATTTCCAAGCCTCACATTTGAATATCCAATGAATTTAAGATAGATATGATATTTTTTAAAAAAATATTTTTCAGCTAGTTTTAGAAAATGTAAAGATGTGTTTAATTTTTCAATTTAGAGTTACTTCATTGATAATAATGACTTATAACTTACATGATGGTCTCAATCATAAGTTTAGATCTCTACATATTTAGTTAGGCAGACTTTGTAGATAAACCAATCCTTACATTTAACTCACATTCATCTCTGTCTTATTAGTTTGCTGGCTGTTCTGAAAAATACCACTACCTTACTGTTTCATAGATAGAGAGGAATTTTTAAAAGGTTAATCAAATTTCAGTATCATTTCTAGTAGAAAAGTACATGAACTTTGATTTCATTCTTTTTAATTCAGCTTCCTTAAGGATAATAGAAATACAGAAATATGTTATAGATTACTTGATATCTGATAATTACAACAGTATTATTAGTTTTTTATTTTGTTTTTAAAATAAAGCTCTAGTGTATGTCTAGATTAACTAATGGAGTCCTCGATGAACTTTCATTAACTGTATTTTATCTACTTATATTTACATGGATAAGACCGGTGCTCATCCATACTTCTTTTGAAAGGCTACATAGAAGTTTATATTGAGAAGTATCTTTGCACTATGGTCAGTTCACACTTGATTGCTTATATTACCAATTTAAAAAAAAAACACCAAACTCCTGTTTTTTTCTTGAGAATTCTTTATGCAGCGAAATGGGGAGAAGGAAAATTACAATCGTCATTCCTTTCCTTTAATACTTCTAAACAGTTTCTGAACAATCTAGACCTGTATCTGAAGTTCAGTTTTATGATTAACCCCTGGTATAATATCAAGTCACTCTTCTGTTGAAGTGATGGCTTTTGAAAAGTAAAATTTTTCAATATTTTTTTCCTTCCGGAAACAGAAGAATGAAATAACTTTTGTTTGAGATTCTATCTAGACCCATGACTCTTAGTATAATAATGCTTTGTGCAGCTATCTATAAAATAGAGTTGATTAGGGCAATTTAGAGCTTATTTTATTGGTAAGAAGATTATTCATTTTGCTGCTAAGTAATTTTTTGGTAAATTTTAATATTACAGTGCTGGCCACTTGGTTTTGTGATTATTTAAAAATCCCATCTTCTCTTTGTATGTGCATTTATATACATACACACTCATATATATAAAACTATAGATAAACGCTTTTATGTGATATCATAGAGAAGATTTCTTTGAATTCTTATTTCAGATAACAGTAAATGATTGTGGATAAGAATTTGCATTTTGTAAAAGTGATATTCATCCATTTTCAATTTTTCCATGGCAAATAAAATTAAAGGAAGGGGTTCCTTCATTCTCCTCACTTTATTTCATTATATATACAAAGAGGGTGGATTTAAGGCCTTGGTGTTTTTCCCTGGCCTTGTGTATTCAGGTTTCCAGTCTCCCAGTGCCCTTAATGGATGTTATGAATGCATAAACGCATTTTCTTTTAAAGGAAAAAGATTTATAGTGTTATTTCTTACTTGCTATATTTCTTTGCACTAAAGAAGAGCTAAGTGTTTGTTTTATATGACACTTTAGATACCATATTGCCTATTCAGTTTACTCCTTAATTTCTAAACTCTAGGAAGTTGATGAATAACTTCTGTGATCATTTATGGAGGTGACATACACATCCCCCCTAAAAAGTCCCTACAGATCTCTGTGACAGTGGTTGTGCTCTGGGCTTGTTGCCTTGTAATATTCTCTGTTCCACAGGTGAAACAAAGGGTGACAGAAGCTGTCAGAAAGGAAATGCCTAAAAATACATCTCTGCATGCTACAGTATCTTATAGTCATGCATTCCTTACAGACAGTGTTTTTTCCCTGTCAAAGAAGGTTGTTGCTACTACTGCAGTCAGTGATATGTGATCTCCATTGATTTCATTTTGTGAAGTCCAGTCCTGCTCTGTAATGTGCTTTAGAATTTGCACACTGTGCTCCCCAAGAATCATGTTAGGATCTTTTGTAGGCTGTATATAAGGACGGACCGAGGCCTAAACAATGGAAACCTGTAGTCAATTAAATTAAGCCGATTTCAGTAACCATCTGCAAGAAGACCTTATGGCATCAAAGTCTCTTTTCTCTGTGAATATCTTTGTGTAAGGTGTCCTTCAAAGCCAATGTTAGAAGATGACAGTTAGAAACTCTACTAAGATATTGAGGGCAAGAAGTTGTAAAGGAGAAATTCCATGTTCCAATTAAAAGACTGGATTGCATATGCCTTTGAAGTGTTTTTCTCCCCCCAAAAAAAAGTTAAGCTGCAAAACTGAGTGTGCCATGTAATCCTTTTGACTCCACATCGAACAGAAAATACTTTGTTGGTCTTTGTATACCATGTGCTGCAACTTGTAAATATGTGCATGTTGTTTACTACATTTGTCTGCCTGTCTCTTAACTGCACTGAATTCTGTAAGTGAATACTTTTTAAAATACCATCCATTTTGAAAAAGTTCCTTCTTCAACTCCTTGCTCTTTTCCCTTTTAATGTGTTAGTACACTTAGAAAACTGTTTAGGTTTTAGAAACCCTGAGGTTGAGTGGAGAGGCGTGCCTGAGATTATCCTTATGTCCCTCTGACTTGGACCCCTAAAGGAAGCATGAGATCTTCTATTTATTTTGCAGGGCTGTTCTGTGACACTGGTAATACTTGCTATAGCTACCTAGCTACACTTTGAACAAGGATAAAATATATGTATGTATGTGTGTGTGTGTATGTAATCTTCCTCTGTAGACAGATTTTAAGGATTAACTGTGGGGTTTATGATTCCTTCACTCTTGAATTGGCTGGAACGATGAGCAGTGACAGTTTGAGGACTGTCCTGTGACCTCTGTAAAATGAGTTTGCTTATGCCAGGGGAGACATGTAATCATCCCTCTTGGTATCCTCTGCAGAGTGGCTCAGGAATGGTGGATTTGGAACCCAGTCTATTTTGTTTCCTCAATGTCAGAACTTAGGCTGAAGTCCTCTGTAAAGAACTTGGTGAGGCATGTAAGGACAATAGAGCTGCTTTATAAAGAGAGAGATGTTTTGTTGATTTAGGCAAAAGTTTAATACAGGCTATTGAAGAGGTGTTTAAAAGTATTTTACCTTAACCTTTTTTTTTTCCCCCAGCCAAATCACTATTCAGAAGTTTCATATATAGTAGTGTTTTGTTGTTGGTTTTACTTAGTTATTTTTTTTTTTTTTTGGCAGTGGATCCCTGCTATTGTGACTTATTACTATCAGTCTAACTGGATGGACAAATAGTTGTGTAAATAGCTTCCCATTTCTCTGATAGCTCTTTCGACTTTCTCTTCCCATTAGGAATGGGAAGATCATTTGTAAACTCCCTTTCTGGGTAGCTACCAAAAAAAAAAAAGTACTGGCTTATGGTCCCATGTGACCCTGTCTCTATTAAGCCCAGAATATGAGTGCCTTTAGCAAGTTTTAGCATTTCACAGAGAGAAGAGATGATAGAATTATTGCCATTATTCATAGTTCATTAAACACAGGAACTTGGAATAGCAGAGGTCTGTGTGAATTCTGTGTTCTACATTTTTCTTTTCCTTAATGCAGGCTTAATTTGATATTGAGTAAAACTGTTACTCATATTGATCAGGAACTGTACAACCTGAAAATGAATTCAGTTGTCCTAGGCTGACAACAGTCATAGAGTATTTTTCATCTTTATCTGTGTTACACTTACATTTAGTGAATGGTAGTGTGGTGGATAGGGAAGAGCTTGACACTGATGTTTGGAAAAACTTCTTTCCAGTGTTCTTTTTCAAACTGTGTCTTCTGTAAAGAGGAGAGAATTATGTATTGCAAATGAAGTGGGAAGAGATTGTCATGCACAATAAATGTTAATTGTTTTACTTTGTCTCTACATTAAAAAAAGCATCTTCATAAATCAGGTCTGAAGCCTTTTAAAACAAAATTTTCCCTTTTTCAAATAATTTAAAAAATTCCAAGTTGCTGAGTATTTTGAGACTTTAAAACACACTACTAAATTAATTGTAGAAATTTAACATTTTACTATGAAAATTTTCAAACATATCAGAGGTGAAAAAATTTTACAGTAACACTCCACTGGATTCTGTAGTCAACATTTTACTGTACTTGTATGGCTACGTACCTGTCCATCCCTCTATTCATCCATCCACAGTTTATTTTAATATATATTTCACAATATAATAAATCCACAGTTTATTTTAAATACATGTTTCAATGTAGATTTTAGACAATACATTCTCCTTAAACACTTTTGCATAGGTGTCATTGACTCGAGTTTTATATTTGTGTAAATATCAGTATCTTTTTAAAAGCAGTGTCTCAGTAATAAATTTAGATCACACGTTTGTTGAACTCATGAAGTTGATAACCTGAGCCAATGAACATACACTTTTTCTCCTGTGGACTTTCGCCGCCTTCCAGTTTCTGTTTTTGTATGTGCTTAGAATGACGGAAGACAACTCTTTTCAAACTGGTTTTCTTGTGCTGGACATTTTAAATGCTTAGTTGTCATATATTTTAAAGTTTCATGATAAGAATTTCTCCCTGTCCCTATTGTTATGATGTATTTTTGCTGAACTATGCAGCTTTAAAAAATTGTGAGTTACTGATTGGGATTCATGAAATCAGATTATACCTCACTTCAGTCTGCTGCTGCTTTTGTCATGTATCATGTTTCCTTCACTGCCTTCACCCATTCTACCAGAAAGTATAGAATCAAAACCATAGGCGATTAGCTGTTTTAAAAACTCTAGAAGAGCAGATTAAGTAGTTTAGAAAGTTAAAACCGTGAATTTCATATAAAGCCTTTGAGTTCCCTGAGAATGGAATTGCCCATGCTTCCTCTAGCCATAATTAGCAGGATCAAAAATGATTGTACTGTACAATGAGCTGTTGAAATTGTGAGCCTTAGTAACCATCTTTAGCTTTACTCTAGTACTGCCTGGAAAACAATTTTTTTGACATATGCCTTTATTATGCCAATTTTTTGTGGATAAAGAATTTAGGTGACTTGCTCTAGGGCATAAAGGTGGAATGGATATGTTGGAATTGAAACTTCAATATTCTTGATTCATATTCTTGTGCTAGTTTGATAAGATTCATGGCTTCTAAATAACACTTCCTTTGTGGCCCTTAAGATGAAAATATGTATTTTTACTAATTAGACTTTATATTTAGGCATTCCATGACTTTTTGAACTTAAAGATCTTTTGATGGTCATATTTCCTCATTAAGCCAATGAAATTGCTAAAAATACACTTCGCTGTTGAATACTAACTAATGCAAGTTTTATCAGATTTATTTTTGCATTTCAATGACTTTCATGATTCATTCATAACTCTTTCTATGTAAGTGCTTAAGTGACCCCCTCACTAGTGAAAATAAATGTTCTCTATCACTGATTATATGTATATTCTCTACATTATCTATTTTTTAAAGGAAAAGTAACCCCATGTGTCAGAATGAATGATTACTATCCTAGGGCAAAGAACATATAAAGTTTATTTCTACTCTGCAAATCGGGCAACTACTCTGCAAATCTGGCATTTACAGGAACAAAACTCTTTCAGAGTGGTTGGTCATTGTTTGCCTTCTTTTGCTACTTGAGCCTTTCTGTGGTTCTGTAAATTTGTGAGTCATCTTACAAGAATTTCGTGTTGATTCTGTGTTAATCGGTGTTCACCTTGTGGTATCCTTGTGGTATTACTTGGCTGCCTCCAGTAATTTAATTTGGGTATGGTGTGTCTGCTTTGAAATGCCTTACTAGAGTATGTCAGACTCTGCTCTAAAGCATTCCATGTATCTGCTAGGACAATAAGTTGCCTCTCTTGGATGTATGCTCTTAGATCCAGAAGCAAAAATGACTTTGCTTTCACTGTTAAGGCTGCATTTTAGTGGTTATTATTTTAAAATTAGACAATAAAACCATGGAAAACCAATGGAGACTTTAGAATCCTTCATTTAATGGCATGGCAAGCTTTTAAAACAGTTTTTTGCTATTTCACTAGAACAGTGTCTCTGGTAAAGGATATAGGTAAAAAATGCCAGCCAAAACTGTGTGAAATTGGAGTTGTTTCCTAAGATTATTTCCAAATATCCTATAGGGGCTTGACATCCGTGTACGCTGTTGGGGCTACGTGCCAGTCACTACTTTGGAAATTTTTCTGTTTTGGGGCTACAGAAATGACAAAAAAATGTCGTGGGATTTAAACCAATCAACTGTGAATTGTGAAATTGAAATTGCTCCTTTGGTTTTATTTTCTTCTGTATATTGAATAGAGAAATCAAAAAGTTATTTAAAATTTATACTGCTTATGTTGATGGCTCATTTTGGCTGTGTATCCTCACTATGTACTGATTTCTGATAAAAGCTTGACATTGTTATAACGGGCATTTTGTGTTCAATTTAATAAAACAGTTTCTGAGTCTTGTCTGCAGATCGTTCGGTTATGAGTTGGAGATCATAACCTGGTCAGCACGGAGGAGTTAACTTTGATGCTGATGCCTAATGGCTGCGGGTTCACCGTTCATCATTCTGTACATAATCTGTCACAGGCTTCTTGAGCACATGTGGAGTACTGTCAGGTCTTGGGTTTGCAGTAGAAGTGACCTAGTTGCCCACACCACCTTACCCCCTCCCCACATCACTGGAGTTAGCCCGGAACTGCAGTGAGTTCTTAATTTTATTGATATATTTTAAAATTTTTTTAATTTTAAAATTTATCTTCTCTTCAAATTCTGAGAAAAGTTGAGCATAGCATGATCATAACTGCTGCTTTTAGAAATAAACATTAACAGGCATATACTCATTAATCTTTTGGGTATTTCACATATAAAATATTCTTAGTTTAAAATATACATTGTCGGGGTATTGTCATTAAGCACTCTGGTTTACCATATGCAGTGTGCTTTTGAATTTAAATGCTCATTTTAAAGAGTAGATTATAGACCTGGAAGGTGCTGTTACGGTTTGTTTAATCGGGATGCAAGACACATACACTTACTGTCGTGGGAAAAATTCTTGTCTGCACACACAAAAAATGTTTTTGAATGAACTGAATAGATCACATTGTGTGTTCTAAAAAAACAGGCAAGGAGTTAGTACATTTTATTTTATCATCTCCGAGAGATTTTTAGCTTAAAAGAAAGCCGTAATAATGGGCATCGCAAAGTAAAAGTCTTAAACCAGTACAGCTTTTCAGCGTTTTTTTTTTTCCCCCCCAAGACATTTCTGAGGCTTGTCCATTTGCCGAAAATCTATTCACGGTCAAGCACTGGATATTATACTTTAAAATTGCCTCTCTGTAAAAGACCAGCAATGAACTTTCCCAATCTATTATAAATTGATGTAAGATTGTAGAGAGATCAGAAATAGATCTTTTTGTGATGAGTTTTAAGATTTTTATAATCTGAGTTGAGACCTGACTTAGATGTAATTCTGAATCCTTACCCGCCCCCGCCCCCGACAAAATCACCTGAAAGTACATTCTGTGTGTGTATGTGTGTGTGAGAGGAAGATGAGATAGATTGAGGTGGGTGTATTAGGAGGGAGTATATGTAAACGTGTTTAAGATGTCAAATACTTGGGATGAAGCGTGTCCGAAGGAGCGATTTGCCACTGGAGGGAGGGGATATGCGCCTCCCTAGGCTGGCTGTAAGTCCTGCTCGGGGTTTTGGATGTTTTTCAGTGTAATTAGAGCTTCAAATGTGTTTTGGCTGGCAGCCGCCCTCCACAAAGGAACAAGATGTCTTTAATACTAACTTCAATTTTTAATCTTTGCTTATGCCAGAGGCTCTTCTTTATCCCCGTTTTCTACAAATAGCCAGTTAGGTTACAGACTTTGACCGAAGGTATCTAGTGCCACCCTGTGGACTCTCGAAATCTTACAGATAGCAATTTGAATGTGGTCCGTACACTACCTTTAAAGGCGGATCTTTGGCTAAAAACCACCTTTGTGGAGGAGAGGAGTTTTCATTCTTAAATAAAGCAAGGGCAGATGTGTCTTTAGGGGGTATTAAGGAGTTTATTCGTTTACAGTTTCAGCAGCTGAAGTATACAGAGTGAGAAAAGTGGTGGTTTGGGAATCAGGAGGCATATGTATGTGTGTGTATGTGTGTATATATGTGTGTGTGTATATATATATGTGTCTATATATATAATGCGTGTGTGTAGGATTTTTGGTGATGTTTTAAAACTTTAAAACATCTGTTTTAAAGCTTTAAAAAAATCTGTTACCCACACATGTTTGGGTATGTGAACAACAAACATAGAAACTAAAATAAAATAATGGTCAGTGGAAGCCCCAAACAAAAAGATCTTTCATCATAGAAGATTGTTGAACATTTAAAAATATATATATATATAATATTATATACAGGGGCAAATGTTACCAGCCATGTGCAAATCATGCTGATAATATAAAAACTAAACTACAAAATAGTATTGTTTTCCCAGACATGATTTATTTGAGGGAAGAACATGATTTCTGCTTCAATAAGCTGGAAGTACATGAGGCATTTTTAAGTATTTTATTAAATATTTCAAATACATGGAAGAAGTATATACTATCATAAGTGGTCCCAGTTCTGTCACCTCTGAGCATGTCACTTAACCTCTCTGATATTCAGTTACTTAGAATTGGGATTTTATTAGGTATGAATTCCAGTTATTCTTTTTATCACTTTCAGTAGTATGGACAATTTAGACAATTGGTCTTTTTAAAAAATTGGTTGAATCTTTTTGAATGAGTAAGTTCTGAGTTCACTCCTGAACTCATATCCCATTTTCCTCCCTCAAGGTGAGCAGTTACCAGTTGCTTAGTGGTTTCCCAGAGATATTCTATGCAATGTGAATGGGACGTTCCTTAGAAACCTTTTACTTGGTGGGCACTGTGCCTTGGCAATTATTCCAGGACATGTGAATCTATCTCATTCTTTTTGACTGTGTGGTATCCCCTTGTATGATATTCAAAATATCTTTCATTGGTCCTCCATTGATTTCACATACATACACACACACACACACATTATATATAGTTATATAATATAATATATATATATATATATATATATATATATATATATATATATATATATTATAGTGACCTTTTAAAAATAAAAACTTAAGCCCTGGCTGATGTGGCTCAGTGTACTGAGCACTGGCCTGTGAACTGAAATGTCACTGGTTTGTTGCTAGTCGGGGCACGTGCCTGGCTTGTGAGCTACATCCCTGGTTGGGCGTGTGCAAGAGACAACCAACTGATGTTTCTCTCGCATATCGCTGTTTCTTTACCTCTCTTCTACCTCTCTTCCCCTCTCTCTAAAAAATAAAATCTTTTAAAAACTTGAAAATATTGTGGTAAAATATATACATAAAGTTGATCATTTTTACCATTTTTAGGTCTACACTTCAGTGGTACTAAGTACATTCACATTGCGCAACAAGGACCACCCTCCATTTCCAGAACTCTATTCATCCTCCCAAACAGAAACCCTGTAACTCATTAAACAATGATACCCCATTCCTCCCTACCTCCCAGCCCCTGGCAACCACCATTCTACTTTCTATTTCTGAATCTTACTACTCTAGGTACCTCACGTAAGTAGAATCTTATTAACAGTGCTTGTCTTTTGTGCCTGCCTTATTTCATTTAGAATAATGTCCTCAAGTTTCATACATCTTGTACCATGTTTCAGAATTTCATTTTAGGCTAATATTCCATTGTATGTATATATTGCATTTTATTTATCCACCTATTGATGAATATTACATTTTATTTATCTACCTATCGAATACCTCTGTGGGGGGGGGTATTGTGAAAAATGCTGAACGTGGGTGTAAAAAAACTAAAAATTATGAAATATTTAATACATGTAAAGTATAGAGGATAATTAAACAGATGTACGTGTAATCATTGAGTTCCCCAGCACTATCTAGTCCTAACATTTTGCTGTATATTATTCTGATAGTCTTAGAGGAAAATAAAACATTATCAATTCAGCTGAAACCCACTGTGTACCCCTCCCTAGTTCCAATCTAAGCCCTTGACAGATAAACTGACAATCTTAAATTTGGTATTTATTATAACCATGTATATTACTAATGCTATATGTGTCTATAAACAGTATTGTTTATGCTTGCAAAATTAACATGAATGTCTCATGTAATATAAAAATATTTCTATTTTTTCTCGACATTGTTCTTGAGACGTATGATGATACATTTTATTCATTTTAAATACTGTATAGTGTTCCACTGTCTGAATGTAGCACAATTCATCCTTTTGTTGATGGACATTTAGGTGGTTTTTCAATATTTTCTTATTAAAAACAGTACCCCAATGAATTTTTAAAACATACCTCCACAGGCTCTCCAGGCTAGATGCTTGCTACATCACCTTCTAGTTTATTACAAATGCAGCATCCCAGGCTCTCCTGCAGACCCACTGAATCCGAACCTGTGTTTATGTCAGATCCCCGGGTGAGTCATAGCATATGAAAGTTTGAGCAGCTGTTCTCAAACTTAGTAGCACCTGGGAAGTTAAAAACAACAACAAACTTTCACCTGGGTCATGCCCCAGAGATTTTGATTTAATTGCTCTAGGTTGTGCTCCTTAGGTGATTCTAATATATAGCTAAGATTTAGAAGGATTGCTGGGACCCAGTCGTTGCTTCATTGTGTGTCTTGTGTATGGCTTTTGCTGGGATGCGTCTCTGGAAGAGATATAACCCACAAAGGGCTATAGCACGCAGGTAGCTACTGTGGGTGGAAACCCCTAATTCAGTAAATTATCAAACACCTCAGCAAATACTTTGTCCTATTTTAAGTACAACTAGTTCTTCATCCATAGAGTTTAATTTACTAAACAAATACTCGTAAGGCACTAACTACAGGGTCAGGCACAACAAAGGCCCCTATTTCATTACAAAATCATAATGTGATTCTGTAACATAACAATATCACACTCAAGCACACCATATGACATCTTAGGTGAAATGTTCAAATTAAAACTAAATTACTACACCCATATTATTACCCTACCAACCACACTCAAGCAGGCGTTAACTTCTGCCAACCCTGTGTATATCAGATAATCTTCTTAAAAAGCACTTGATTATATTATTTGTTGGAAAGTTTACTTTCCACTTAAGAAAGCTTTGAGATTTTGAGTGAAACAAGTTTATCAGAAGGAAGAATCCGTGGTAATAAGAAAGAACAGGAGATGTCGGATGGTGAGGTTCCTGCTCTGTGCTCTGCCAGGCCCAGCAGCTCCACCGTCAGTGGCCGGTGGCCGTCTGTCTGGGACTCTCCCTGGCCGAAGCTCCTGCCCTCCCCTCCGCCACTCTCCCAGCAAGGATGGCCTGTGCATGCACAGAGCTACTGCTTCCCCAAGGAAGAG